TTTTTTACATTCTAAGATGTGGAGCTGTGGGAAGGGGTGGGGAGGGGAAAGGAGGTGGGGTGCCCCATGGCTAGCTCTTTCTCTGGCCAGGTTGCAAATGTGGGAGGGGGCGTGGCTGAGGCCCTGGACAGGAGCCCAGGGTGCTTCTGATGGTGCCTGCGCTCCCTGGGCTGGATCTGGACAGGTATTTTTTAACTTTAAAGAACAGGCCCCCCGGTTAGTAGCTAACCCCAACCTCTCTCATGATACTCCCTGGAGGCCAGAAATATGAGGCAGGTGACTTGACCTGTCCTATCTACAGTGAGTTGGGAATGAAGGGGAGGCCCAAAAATATCTGCCCTTGCTTTCAAATGTGACCTCAAATGTTATCACTTTGAGTTCAGATGCATCTTCTTTGAAAAAGAACTATCAGTAGAGTGAATACAGACTCTCCTACTCTCTACGTAAACTAATTCATTCACTTACTTTTCACTTGTGAGAAAAATATACTGAGAATATCCCATTAGAAAAACGAGAGTTTTAAATTACATTGTTTGTTATCCATAATTGAAAAAGTGGTATGCACATGTACAGAATGAGTACAGTGCTTCCAAAACACCCCTTGCAAGTGGAACTCTACTGGGTGAAAGGGGATCCCGTGGTTTCAGACTGGGCTTCTTTGCTGCAGGACTTTTCAGAGCTTTCAAAATGCTAATTCTAATTGTGAATTTTTAGGAAGGGGATATAGCTGTTCACATTTCTAAAGTTCATTTGACCGAGAACCTTTTCACAGAATCTTGGGGGACTAACATCCCTTAGAGTATCTTTGCAAAATGCAGGATCAAAAGTCACTAATGAATACTAACCTCTTACCTGTGCAGAGCACTTTACAGTTAGTCCTCAATGGGCTTCAGATACACCTTCATTCAATAGAATTTTCTTAAGGGAAAAAGGAGAAGGTCACTTGAGTCTGCAGTGAGCAGGGATCAGACTAGGGGGAGTGTCAACAGGGGGGCATGGGGCTCCTGGGGAGGCTCTGGGAAGGTGGGGACAAAGGGTCCACTTCATCAGTCCCTCTGCTCAGTCTTCCGTCTGCCCCAGGAGACAGGGCCTGCACCTCCTCAGGAGGCTCCCTCCCTCCCTAGTGCCTCTCACTTACTTGACTAAAAGGGCCATGTCCCTGGAAGGACCCCCAACCCCACCTCCCCTGGTTCCCCAGCCAGCAGAGCCTCTAGCCAGGCACTTTCCCAGCTTTTTTGCTGCAGAAACATGGCATGGTTGTTGGGGAGCACAGCTTGCCAGGAGGCCCATGGCATGGTCCTGTGGTGAGAGTGCTTGAGCTGAGGCTGGCCCTGGATAGCAGCCTTTCTATCCATCCACCAACCCCATTTAGGATGCCCAGGATCAGTGAAAAGTTTTGGTCATTCAAATCATTCTGAAGTGTGTTAACACTATGTGCTACCCCTCTTGGGATAAACCTGCTCTTCAAAGGAAATACTTGTCTGATGGTGGGACTGCAGGCCCTCTGCAGATGGTTGAAGGAGATAGCTTTGAACTGCAGGACCCTGTGAATGATCCATCATAAATCCATCCCCATTAACCACTCTGTCCTTCCAGGTGCACTATTCCATTTGTGTATCCAGCAGGAAAATACGGTTCTGCTTAGAGTAATGAACGTAACATTCTGAAAGCACCAGGAGGCCTTGGTGGTACTGACCTATCACTCTTGAGCATCTGCTCACCAGGACGCCCAGGGTCATGAAGGGAATAACTCAGCATACAGACCAGAGCTGACAGGGACTGAGCCCTTACCATGCACCAGGACCTGTTCCAAGCACTTTGTGTGTATTAAATTGCTTGATCTGGGCTGGCTGGTTAGTTCACTTGGGAGAGCATGGACCTGGTAACACCAAGGTCACATGGTGTTTGGATCCCCATATGAGCCAGGCACCAATAAAACCACAAATAAATAAAAATAAATAAATTGCTTAATCCTTACAGTGATCCAGTGGAGGAGATGATGTATTTTTTTTCTCTTCTTCATTTTATAGGAGAGGAAAAGAAGGACAGAAAGGCCAAAGGATGTGTGAGCCAGGCACCAATAAAACCACAAATAAATAAAAATAAATAAATTGCTTAATCCTTACAGTGATCCAGTGGAGGAGATGATGTTTTTTTTTTCTCTTCTTCATTTTATAGGAGAGGAAAAGAAGGACAGAAAGGCCAAAGGATGTGCCCATGGTCACCCTGCTAAGAAGTGGCGTGGCAGGACTTGAACTCAGGGCTCCTTGCCCCAGAGCCTGCAGCCCTCTGTGTGGGCAGTGACTGTGAAGGCATATACCAAGGCCGAATGGTGACCCACTCTGCAGCCCAGGGCCGAGGGGCAGAGGGCTGGCCTGGGTCAAGAGCAATTAGTGCTGCAGACCTGCCAAAGCATTTTGAGGGCAGGTCTGTCTGGTCTGCTCAGAGCAAGGTGCAAACTGGAAAGCATATGTATCTTAAAATAGAATTCTGGAGAAATAATTTGCTATCCAAAGGAATTGAATCTCAAATGAGGGATGTTCAAGAATCAGTAGGTGATAGAGTGTTGGCCAGAGAATGTTTCTAGGTAAACCAGCCTACTCCCACCCCAACGAAAGAAGAGAAAAGAAACAAAACAGAACAAAATAAATGAATAAACAGCAACAAACCTATGCGAAAAAAACCACGCAGGCAGCCACCTCTTGCCTGTATGTTAAAGTGACAGCTCTAGAAATAAAGGGAGATAGACTTAAAGGGTTTCAAAGAATAGGAGTGATTTTTGTTTTTCCATTTAATGCCAGGTTTCAAAGGAAGAAGAATATGTCTGTCACTGTTACACGCTCATTCTGTTTAAAGCCCCTCCAGATGACTTCATGGGACTCTGTCAAGAGTGAGAGGGTCTCCACTATGTAGGATGCAGGGAGCAGGTCCTTGGAAGGTCTCCCTCGAGGACTTCACTTCTTTTTGAACACTTGACGGCACACCTGGTCTCCACAGGTCAGCACCTGCGACATCAGAAAGAGGGTGAGTGGCTAACAAGCTAGGCCTTCCTTCTGCCAGCCCTCGGCCCTGTCACTTCTTTTTGAACACTTGACGGCACACCTGGTCTCCACAGGTCAGCACCTGTGACATCAGAAAGAGGGTGAGTGGCTAACAAGCTAGGCCTTCCTTCTGCCAGCCCTCGGCCCTCTTGGTGTCTGGGGGTGGGAGATTGGAATAAAGAGGACACTTAGTCACTCTGGGCAAAGTGCATCTCACAGACCCAATCAACTGGCATGCCCTGCAGGTAGCTAGCAGGAATTTGATTTTGACACTTGAATTGAGCTTGAACAACTATAAAAATGAAAGATGCAAAGAAATGATCCTCTTGGGTGGAATTTCTCCTACTCCCACGATTAGAGCAATATCGCTTAATTTATGAAAGGCAGCAAACCCACGAGGAAGGGAAGGACCTAGTGTGGAGAAGCGCTTGGAAGGTAAGGGCCTGGGAAGATGCTGGCTGGTGAGCTGTGCCTCCACCCTGGGGGTTTCTGGCTGCTGGAGTTAGAAGGTTGGCTGGAGGAGGCACAGGCAATGGCAAGGCGTGAGCTGCAGGAGGGTTGCCCAGGCCTGCCTGTGCAGCTGCCGAGGTGCTGCTTTTCATCCAGACAGAGGGAGGCCCCAGCCTTATCTGCACCTCACTGACCCTGGAAGGAGGAGGGGAAACATAAGTGGGGGGATGACCACCACCATCACTGCAATTGATGACGAATCCATTGTCTAAGCCACAGGGACCATTGAGGATCATACTACAACTTAAAAAACCCATCATCCAAACCAGAGCAGGTCGATAGAAAACACATCTAATGCTTTCCATATATCACCAGCTGACATTGCCTCTGAAATAAAGATCTCAGGTAAGCAAGCCTGGCTCTGAAGGGCACCAGGGCAGCCTGAATACAGATATTGGAGCCAGGTACCTGCCTGACTGCATATGTGAATGAATGAATGAATGAAGAGCCATTCATTGAATGAGCCATTTATTTAACAAATGAGAGGCTGAATTCATAAAGGAGTAAAAGATTTTGCATTATTTGAATGTGGACCCATAACTTGTCTTGAAGATTGAAGAATGAAAAATTAAGCTGTCTAGACAGATATGATTTAGCTAAGGATATCTGCTATTGTTCTTACTGCTCTGTTCTAGTACCAAATTAACCTAACATATTTTGGGATCAAGGGGACATACTTGATGATGAGAGATCAGTGCCTGAGGCAGTTCCCAGGCCCAGCTGCCCCCTCCCTCCACACCCGCCCCTCTCCCTCCCAGTCCTCCAAAATCTTGAGAAGCCTTGGCCCCACCTCCCCTGGGGCATCTTAATTCTGTGGCTCACATTTCTCCCCAGCTAGGCTTTAACGGGTTCCCCACACTTCTGTTTGGATCTTAGCTTCCTAACTCAGCATTTTGAACTTTTTCATTGCAGCCCTTCACAGAAACATCCATATAGATTTCTTCCTAGAGTCCCCTGAGCCAGATGGGAATGGCTTTCTGACTGTGTGACCACACGTGTTTGGCTGTGCTCAGAGGAGGAGTGCAGGGACATTTTTCTTGTCAAGGCTGCCGGCTAGGTGACCATGGTGGTTTGTGTAACCACAGTGGAGGGGAGCTGAGCAGACCCCAGCACTTACCACATACAGCTTGTCCCCCTCAACCCACTGCCTCCAGCCTCGGTTCTCCTTCTCCCCCTTTTGCACGCCCACGAGTACATCGCCTTCCCAGATGACCAGAGTCTGCAATGACAGGGTCCCAGGCAAGTCACACGTATGGTCTTGAGGAACTGAACACACCTGAACCTAAAGCTGCAATTCTTGCAGCCATGCCCGGCTCCTGCTGGCCCATGGGGCAGAGCCCGTGGCCTCAGTGACAGGAGGTCTTTCCAATCCCATTTTCCGCATACAATCTTCATTCCAGCCAAACCAGTTTACTGTGGCTTTCTCTGTTCTCTTGTAAGGAATTCTGCACTTCCTTTTTACCATATAGAAAGATAGCATTTCAAACTAGTGGGGGAAAGATGATAAATTTGACTTGATAACAATATAAAATATCTGGAAGGGGAAAATACCTCAAAGTCAACAGATAAATAACAAACCAGGAAAAATAATTATAACCTATCAGCAAAGACCTGATTTTCTTGTATATATAAAGGGCTTCTGTAAATCAATAAGAAAAAGATCATTAACTTAATAGTCCATGTCAACAAAGGACATGAATCAACAACTTACAAGGGAAATAAAAACCACAACAGACGGCTTCTAAACGTAAGGAAAGATATTTAATCTCATTCATCATAAGAGAAATGCAAATTAAGACTGCTTTTCTGATACAAGTCATCAAAGGCCAAAGGTCAAAGAGTGTGATCATACACTAAGGTGGCGGGGGTGTGGAGAAGCAGGTGCCCCCATATATCACAGGTGAGAATATAAATTTCCATAAATCTTATTAGAGGACAGTTTTATATTACCTTTCAAAACACAAAATTGTATATACTCTTTGACCTAGAAATTTACTTCTGGGATTTTTTCCTAGGAATCACTTTGTGAGGACTGTCCACTGTAGGACAGTAATAAAGGCAGGAAAGCTCCCAAACTAATCAGTGGGCTGCCCAGATGGCTCCAGGGCCAGCCTTCTCATCCAGGACCACGTCCTTGGTTTCCTCCAGGCAGTGATGCCAACTGTTTACTAGCACTGGGGCAGCAGCAGACCCGTGATGAACAACCAGACTAAGCTGATCAGCAGGTTAGAAAAGGCACAAGCCTGTGAACCCCAAGAGGACTCAAACCCCTGTGCACATATTTACAAATTGTACAACCTCTCAAACTCCTCCTCCTTAGGTTCCCCAGAAGGAGGTATAACAGCCTGAACAGAAGTAACTACATTTTGTTAAACCTTTGAATTTAAAAATTGTTCTCTCCTGTAACCTAAACCACATAGCCTGCAGTTAATTGCCAGAACACAATGACTCTTGCTTTCACATTGTATACAAGTAATTAGAGAAAAATTATTAACCCAGATGGCCATTCTTGACTAGCTTGCTAACCTGATCTTACTTGTGAATAACAGGAACTGAACCCATGGAGAATGAAGTATGACCCTAGTCACCTCCCACCAGGGAAGTTCCTTGATGATGATCTGAAACACTCAAGCATGTCAGCACGTCTCTGCTTGGTTACCATGAATTGGCTTTCCACTACAGACCCCTCGAAAACCCTTTGTTAAACCTGGGAGAGGTGGAGATGGTCTTTGAGACATAAATCTGCCATTTTCCCAGGCTGCCGACTTCCTGATTTAAGCTTACCTTTCCTCATACCAACTCTTATCTCTCGATTATTGGCTATTGAGCAGTGAGCAAACAGACCTTTGGGGTCTGGGTAATAGAGGAATCCCTCCTAATACCTGCCTTGGTATAATCTGTACTACTTCCTAGGTGGTCCTACAGAGCCAGCCATCTCTGTGCCCAGATTAGGCTTGTGCATGTACCTCCTGAGATGATTTTGTCATTCCACTCAGGCAATGGTGGTCAAAGGACAAAGAGTTTGAAAATAGACAGACACAGTTTGTGTCTGTGATGTCCTTTCTCAAGGATGACCCTGATGCTAGTTGGTTTTCTTCCAAGTACGTGCAAACAGACAAAGAGTTTGAAAATAGACAGACACAGTTTGTGTCAGTGATGTCCTTTCTCAAGGATGACCCTGATGCTAGTTGGTTTTCTTCCAAGTACGTGCAAACCATAATATGCCTCTATGAATAATGTTACACTAAGGACCAGACATTTACTTTCCTCTACATCTTATAAACCCAGTTGGTGATAAACTGACCTGTGCTTTTTTCCCCACTGTCCTTGTACATCTGGGTCTGTTTTTTTTTTTTTTTTAATTTTGTACAAAACTGTTTTCTACAGATTGTTAAATCTACTTATTTCTAAAATAATATTTGACCTTGACCATAGTATATATTTTATGTACAATTTCATTCCTCCTCACTTCACTCCCCAGTGCATCACAGCATTGTTTATTACAGCAAAGAAATGGAAGCCTCATAAATTCTGTCAGTGGGTGGCTGGTTAAATATGGTGCGGTTCATCCCTGCTATACGGTCATTGAAAGAACACAGCCATAGTGTATTGTTTAAGTTAAAAAAGCAAGAAACAGAGCCATGTGCATAAAACAGGGAGGGGAAGTGTGCACGCATGCATATGTTTGCACATGTTCTCTGCAAGAAGGTAAGAGAAACTCTTCATAGTGATTGTCCCTGAGGGGGAGCTGAGTGGCTTGGGCCCAGGGTGGGAAGAAAATTTCACTTTTTATTGTATGAAAATTTTTAACCATCTGCATGTATTAATATTCCCATAACTAATTTAAAAATAAATTTCTACACGTTCTCTGAGGAAAAAAATGTTTCCTCTTCCTTCAGGACTGTTCTAAGACTCACATCGTGGAAGGTCTTGCAGAAGCTCAAGTCACAGGAGCTTTCCTCACACTTCTGGGAGGGAGATGTTGTCTGGAAGACTCATTTTCTGTTGCTCACCAGTAACCTTGGACCTGGCATTCCCTCCCAAATAAATGAGAAAAGACTGATATCTTCTATTCAAGCAAGGAGTATGTCTTTGATTCTCTCCTCTCCCACAGTGCACACGATGGACACCTAATACATGGTGGTTGAACTGATGTCTGTCTCCCCCAACAGACAGTAAGTCCCAGGAAGGAAGAGGCTGCATCTGCTGTTCATTTCTGCAACACCAGCCTCAGCGCTGTGACCAGCATTGTTGAATAAATCTGTGATTGAATGATTGTGTTGAAACAGAATCTTGAGGTAAGTCTACCTGCCTCTTTGCCTTCATTTCCGTGGTCCCACCAGAGTGTACACATGTCTGTCAATATGGACACTATGTCCTCATTGTCCATCTACTTGTCTGTCTTCCCCACGAGGCTTGAGATCCCTGACGAAAGTGGGTCTGATCCATCATTTTATCTCTAGCTCCTGCCTCAGCCCTGGCCAATGCATCAGATTGTTCAGAAAAATAGTATGTGTCTGTTAGAGAGAGAGCACGTGCAAATGACAAAGCAAATGAGGCAAAGTATGAACAGTAGGCGACTCTTGTAAAGAGCACACAGTACAGTCTCCTTATACAGTGTGANACTGAGGGTTGTGATCCGTTGCCGGACACAAAAAAAGACAAAAAAAGGAAAAAAAAAAAAAGATCCTGAGGTTGAGGAAATGGATGCACATGAGGAAAGCCATTGCTCCTGAGCTAAGGGATGAGGGGGAGAACACTCCAGGGTGGGTAGGTTTGCACAGCGTCAAAGAAGGAGGTTGGGCCCCACTAGGACTTCCCCTATCTCAGTGTTTAAAGTTAACATCATTAAAAACAGCTCTTTATGGTAAATTAGATACAGGTGCTATATCAATGTTAAATTTATAGAGGTTGATTACTGTGGTTGCATAAGAGAATATCCTAATTCTTAGGAAATACACACTGAATTATTTAGGGGTAATGCATCAGATTGTTCAGAAAAATAGTATGTGTCTGTTAGAGAGAGAGCACGTGCAAATGACAAAGCAAATGAGGCATAGTATGAACAGTAGGCGACTCTTGTAAAGAGCACACAGTACAGTCTCCTTATACAGTGTGANTTTTTTTTTTTTTTTAATTTTGTACAAAACTGTTTTCTACAGATTGTTAAATCTACTTATTTCTAAAATAATATTTGACCTTGACCATAGTATATATTTTATGTACAATTTCATTCCTCCTCACTTCACTCCCCAGTGCATCACAGCATTGTTTATTACAGCAAAGAAATGGAAGCCTCATAAATTCTGTCAGTGGGTGGCTGGTTAAATATGGTGCGGTTCATCCCTGCTATACGGTCATTGAAAGAACACAGCCATAGTGTATTGTTTAAGTTAAAAAAGCAAGAAACAGAGCCATGTGCATAAAACAGGGAGGGGAAGTGTGCACGCATGCATATGTTTGCACATGTTCTCTGCAAGAAGGTAAGAGAAACTCTTCATAGTGATTGTCCCTGAGGGGGAGCTGAGTGGCTTGGGCCCAGGGTGGGAAGAAAATTTCACTTTTTATTGTATGAAAATTTTTAACCATCTGCATGTATTAATATTCCCATAACTAATTTAAAAATAAATTTCTACACGTTCTCTGAGGAAAAAAATGTTTCCTCTTCCTTCAGGACTGTTCTAAGACTCACATCGTGGAAGGTCTTGCAGAAGCTCAAGTCACAGGAGCTTTCCTCACACTTCTGGGAGGGAGATGTTGTCTGGAAGACTCATTTTCTGTTGCTCACCAGTAACCTTGGACCTGGCATTCCCTCCCAAATAAATGAGAAAAGACTGATATCTTCTATTCAAGCAAGGAGTATGTCTTTGATTCTCTCCTCTCCCACAGTGCACACGATGGACACCTAATACATGGTGGTTGAACTGATGTCTGTCTCCCCCAACAGACAGTAAGTCCCAGGAAGGAAGAGGCTGCATCTGCTGTTCATTTCTGCAACACCAGCCTCAGCGCTGTGACCAGCATTGTTGAATAAATCTGTGATTGAATGATTGTGTTGAAACAGAATCTTGAGGTAAGTCTACCTGCCTCTTTGCCTTCATTTCCGTGGTCCCACCAGAGTGCACACGTGTCTGTCAATATGGACACTATGTCCTCATTGTCCATCTACTTGTCTGTCTTCCCCACGAGGCTTGAGATCCCTGACGAAAGTGGGTCTGA